CACACTTATGCAGCATGCATCCTTCCTAACCTACACACCCTGTTACTTCTATTCTAGGGGCGGTCAGGTCATCTCTCTTACCTCTTCTCTCGCCACGAATTTCTTCAGTCGCGTTCCAGATACCCAATCCTTCCACTCAGTCCCATTTAACTCCTCGATCTGGTACGCTCCGAAGTCTCCGACCCGTGCAATTCGGTAGGGACCTAACCATCTCTTATCGAGCTTCCTGGACCACTGATTCTCCAACGACGTATCGTAGAGAAGTACGACATCCTCGACTGCCAAGGGTACTTTCCTCACTCGCGCAGACTGATCCCATCGGACCTTATCATCCATACGGCTTCTCACCACCTGATCAGATGCCTCCTGGATCCTTTCTTCTATCGCCTCGACCTGCCGCGCCCGAATATCGAGCAACTCTTCAAATGACAGGTTGACTTCCAGATCCCGGCGCCTCCACGTCTTAAGAAAGCTTTCGATAGGGAAGGTGGCATGCCTTCCGTACCACAGCGTCGCAAGTGCGTACTTGGTGGATCTCTTTACTGTAATGTTCTCGACAAAGAAAGCCCCCCTTAGGTATCTTGGCCATTGATTAGGCTTACCTTCGGTCCATTTGGCCAGGAGGTTCGTAATGGTACTGTGTCCTCTCTCTACGGGGGCATTTGCCTGGGGGTGCGCGGCCGTGGTGTAGTTGGCTGCCACACCATATCTTGCTAACAGTTCTTGCACCTCCTGGCAGGTAAACTCTGATCCCCTGTCCATTACAATTCCCTGACGAAAGGATAACGCAGATAGTACTCCTTGATGCAGCTCACCAGGACTGACCCGGTCTTTGTGCGAATAGCACGCCCGTCCACGAACCCAGACAGGTTATCGCGCGCATCGAAGATATAGTTATAGCCTTGATCCCCAAGTGGCATAAAAAGCAGATCGAGATGCACTACGGCCCCTACCTCTCGTTCTAACCTTGGATGCAGCGGCTCTCCCTGCCTTAAACGGGCTCTCTCCTGGCAGGGTACACAAGATCGACAGAATTTTCCGACCATGTCCATCATTCCATCCCAGTAGTACAACTCACTTATCTTGGCATATGTGGCTTGTACCCCTCGATGCCCTCCTGCAATACCATCGTTTAGTGCTGCTACGACGTCGATCTGACGATTCCTACCGCAGACGACCCTCCTGGGATTCCCCACTTCCCTTCTCACGAAAAGGTGACCGTCTCGCACTAAGTAGCGCTGCAGCATCCTTTGAGCCCTATCGCTCGCATCTCTTAGCCGCATTTCACATGACAGAAGAAGCCCCAGCTCTAGGTAGATCCCGTCGTACTCCTCTGCACAAAAAGCCTCCTTAATTTCCCTTTCTTCGAACTCGTCGTCCTGGCTCTCGGGTATTTCGTCCACATTCCCTGCCGGGTTCAACGAGCCTGACTGGTCTAGGCTTTCCTGCAATAACGTATTGACGAGGAGATACATTCCTCCCATCAAGTCCGCATGCCGTTTTACCTGGCCAGGTCCTTCCTCAATCGTCCTCATATCCTCCACCAGGCTATGCGAGTTGGCCAGCGATAATTCCATCATCCACTGAACATCCTTACCGCCCCAGGGATCCTCTTCTTTAAAGGGCTTAAGGACAAACTCATTCCTCCTTTCATACCCCTTCGGCGCTTGCCAGATAGGATAGCCTACACAGCTAGGCAGTCGCGGCGACCATTTGTTGATATGAGGACGAACATATTCTTCCTGATCCAGAAATCCATCAACTGGGGAGTATTCTCAACCGCCTCCCCTTCCTGCTTATCCCAGTTGATCCGACTCAACCCGTCCGCCCGGTTCTTACTACCAGGAATCTGTTCCAATTCGAAATTGAACATCCAGATGTACGTCAGCCATCTGACAATCGTCGGATCCGAAGGAAAGTAATTCCTTAGAGAGTAGGTCAGGGCGGTCGGATCCACTCTCAAAATAAACCTCCTGCCAAAGATATAATTCCGGAAGATTCGCAGACAATGGAGAACAGCAAGGGTCTCCCTCTTGAACTGAGAGTAGTTTCTCTCCGTCGTACAGAGAGTCCGACTCTCAAATCGCAAGGGTCTTTTCTTCCCTTCCATGTCTGCCTGAATTAGAACTCCCCCTAAGGCAGTCGGTCCCGTATCCATTTCGACAATGAAGGGTCGCGTCTCTGTGGCGTCATAATCTGGCGCTCCTAACACCAACCCTCCTTCTCAAAATTCCTCCTTCATTTTTGCTACCACCTCTTCTTGTTCCTTACCCCATACTCATTCCTGATCCTGACGGACTAACTTCCTCAGGTGTTCAGTCTTAGCGGCAAAGTTCTAGACGAAGACCCTCCAAAATCCACACGTACCAAAAAAACTCCTGACATCAGTTAGTGAGTGGAACAGAACTGGTCACTCAGTAATCTTGTCCGTCTTCTTCACATCCGGCCTTCGGCCCTCCTCATTGCAGACTATCCCCAAGATAGTCGCTTCCCTCATGCAGTGTCTGGATTTGGCTCCGCTTGCCGTGAGGTTATGCTCTTCGAGCAGGCTCAGGACCTTTTCGAGGTCCTGAATGTGCTTCCAGACAAAGCGTCTTACCGTTGGTGAGACTTCGTCGCTCTCTTTCGTCGCCGGCCCCTTCACTGCCAAATCGTCAATGTATGGCTGTGTGATATGGGGGCTGACTGACTGCATGGCCCGAATCATGGCTCGTTGGACCATTGCTACTGCGTTGGTCCACCCTTGTGGGGCCACATTCATGTGGACTAATGCTCGCGGTGTGTGCATAGCTGTCACCGGCCTATCTGGCGGGTAGACTGAGAACTGATCGTATCCTGAGTAAAGGTCTATAAGCGAAATTATAGGTCTTCCAACACAGGATTCTGATAGCGCGTCTGCATTCGGCAGTCCTCCAGCATCTCGCACAGTCACTGCATTCAATCTCTGCAAATCCTGTACCCACCGCAGCGTCTCGTTAGGCTTAATAAAGCAAAACCACGGGGACGCATACGGTCCACTTAAATAGTCGGCGACGTGAGTACGTATCTTGCCGTCGAGATAATCCACCACCTTCCTYYCCTCGTCAGGATTGGGATACCGCGCCCCTCTCATGTTCCAAGGCTCGTGTGGCACGGTGTGGATGCGGATCATAGGTATCTTATCTACATCCAGTCTGCCACGCTCCTCGTCACTAAACGCGTAGGCGCGATGCTTCCTCTTCATTAATTCCACCATCAGCGTTCGCTCCTGAGGCAGCACGAAATCAGACTCCCCTATGATCAACTCCTTCTCGTTCCCTTCGTTGATACGACATGGCCCTGCTAAAGCACTTTCCCTCATTTGTCGAATCAACCCTCGTTCCCTCTCGTAATATGCTTCCTCGTCCTCTGTAACGAGGACGGGTACCGGGCGGCATTTCTTATCTACCGTCTTGTACCGCCTTTGGGAACCCTGCTTGAGCCGTCCCCTAAAAAAGGCCGACTCACRGATTGTGTTTGCGTTGATGCGGGGTTCCCTCCACTGCCTGGGAGCCGATATACCAGCTCCAACCTTCCTGCCTCAGGACATTCTAGAACTTGTTCCCTCAAGGCCTGGATGGCATCCGGATCTGCCATCTCATGCGCGACCACCAGGTCCATGGCCTTCCCAACATCTGACAGGCTGAGGGAAAATGTGTCCACCCTCTCTCCTACTTCGGGCTCTGCCCAGAGCCTTCTGCGCTCCCCTTCCAACTCCTCGATTGTAAATGATCCTGGATTGGGCCGGTTCCTTATACTCCTCGGCCCGGTATTCCGGCAAGTAATTATTTCATAATTCCCGCAGGCAGGATCACATAAGAGAAGGATCAGCGTCCCATCATGTTTGTTGAACATCACGGTCTCTGTCCTGCTTAGGAATGACCTCCGCAGGAGGATTCCATGGTGCACGTCTGGCATTATAAAGAAGCATGCCCTGACCTTCACCTTTCCAACCTCGACGAGCACATTTGAGGTTGTCCCGCAAAACATGGCCTTACAACTGGCTCCATGCAGAATACCGCAGTCAGAACGGTCTATATCCAGCCCGAATCTGATCGCGTCCGCCTCCTGAATAATGTTCATCTCTGCCCCGGTGTCCACCATTGCTGCGCACTTGGAACCCTTCACCATCAAATCCACTGTACCACAGGCTACGCATTTCCAGTCCATCTTCGTACCTGACTATGCCCACTCTGCCTCCTTGGGCAGGATCGTACCCAGGTGGACATTGGGTACCAGGCGTCGTGATAACCTCCCCTTCAGTTCATCGCGGAGTCGCGGGGCTGACACTAGGATTTCCTTCAGGGTCATGAGGTCATTATGCCCTTCCAGCAGCCGGTCAATCACCTTCTCTACGTCAAATCCTTCTTCCAACCGGACCGCGTATTTCTTCTTTTTGGGCGGTCCGTCCTGTATGACCGGTTCGGCTTCTCCCCTGATCCCCTTTTTCCTTGCCCGCTGCTCCGCTCTCTGATCCTCTTCTCTGCGCAGCCTCTCGTCCTCTTCTTCTTCGTCATCGTCGTCCTGTACTGCCACAGCCTCCTTCCTCCTTCTTGGTTCGTGTTCCCCCCTCGGAGGCTTTTGGCTGGTACTGACCTTGGCTTGATTCCTCGTTCGCGCTGCCTGCGCCAGCCGGGCTTGCAGAGTGAGGGGTCTCCCCCTTATCCCTGGTTGAGGGCACGACCCCACCACATTTACTCCGGGTCGCCCAGACGCTGACTCCAGGCCAGAGTCATAGAGGAATACTGTGGGGATGTTAGACCTCCATCCTTTCACTTCTTTACAGAGACCCACCAACTTCTGTTGGTACCTCCCCATCTTATCCAGCAGGTCCTTCATCTTCTCAAATAAGACGGACGGAGGCTCCGTTCTTTCCTCCTCCTCCTCGTCATCTGACTCGATGATTATGGCCTCTTCTCTCTCACTTCCTCCTCGTAGCCCTTGAGTCACTTCCTCATCACTTCCCACTTC